CCCACCACCCACTCTAGGGGAAGATCCTTGTCTCCTTACAGCTTCTATTCCTAGGTTCCTTGCCGATCATGTGATGTGTATCTTCCCCCACCATGTGTGCTTTCTTGCTGCTTTCTTCATCTGCTCTTCTATATCTCAAGAGAGAGTGACTTAAGACACATCCAACACTGATACTGACTAATTAACATAACAAAGGAAGCTCATTCCCAAATGAGATTATAACCACAGGTATAGTAGGTTTACAACACATATTTTGGGGGGACACCATTCAATCCATAACATGTCCCCTCAGCCCTAGCAACATCCTGGCATTCTTCATGGCTAGGGTGCAGGGAAGGACCGTTCAACTCAGTCATGCTGGGTTGTGTCACTGCTTGCCTTAGCATCACTAAATACCTTTGTCCTGTCCTGGATCTCAGCTCACTCCACCACTCTGCCCCTCTGACTGACACCTTAGATGAGGATGAGAAACTTTCTCTTGGGCTGGGGCCCTCTGGCTCCCTTTGCAGTGGCCACTCTGCAGGCATCCTGAGGAAATCTGTTGAAAGTGGCCCTGAATTGTGATTATCCGAGGAATGTTCACTCCTGCAGACCACTGAGGCGTGGCTCGCCTCTGCATGCAGGCTGTCCTGGTCTTGTCCACTCTTTCTCCTATCCCTCAAGCCCTTCCTCCTTCTCCTTCCCACTCTTACTGCCACTTCTCCGAAACGACCGACCGCAGTCCTTTTCTAACCAGCCTTCCTGCCTGTAGCTCGTGCCCCCTGCAGGCCAGCCTCTGCTTTGTGCCAGCCAGAGCGAACATTCTAGAATGCAATCTGGTCATGTAATCCTCACGCTTAAAGTCTTCCAGTAGCTCCCCATGGCCTTCAGAAGTAAATCAGACTCCTTACATTGTCTGGTGAAGTCAAATTCTGGTTACACTGAATTTCTCACAGTTTCCTCAAACACCTCAGGTTGTTTCTCAAGTCTGCAAATGCTACAGCCTGCTCTTCCGGCATACACCCCACCCCAACCCCTGCCATTTGCCTTTCCTTATGTGGCTGCTCTATTTATCCTTCCAGTCTCAGCCCACACGGCCCCTCCTCTGAGAAGCCTCCCTGAGTCCCCAAGCTTCATCATCATGTCTCATTCCTTCATTTGCTTGTCTGTCTCCTGCACTAGACTGTGAACTCCTTGGAGACAGGGACTGTGTCTTGTTATTGTTAGGTGCCTTTGAGTTGATTTTGACTCAGTTATTCCATGTGGCAGAGTAGAACTGCCCCACAGGGTTTCCTAGGCTGTAATCTTTATGGAAGCAGATCACCAGGTCTTTCTCCCACAGTACCACTGGGTGGGTTCGAACCACCAACCTTTGGGTTAGCAGCTGAGTGCTTAACCACTGCACCACCAGGGCCCTTGACTGTGTCTTAGTCACTGTTGTAGCTCTGTAGCCCAGCAAAGGGCCTAACAGCAAGTATAGTTCAGTGATTAGAGCTCAGACTCTGAAGCCAGACTGTCTTGGTTCTAATCTTAGCTCTTCTGTTCAGCAGCTGTTTGATCTCGGATAAGTTACGTAAGCTGTCTGTGCATCATTTCTATTTGTAAAATGGGCATGGTGATAACAATCTCTTGTCAAAAGGTTGCTGGAGGAATTCAGTGAGTTAATACATGTACAGTGTCTGGCTCCTAGTAAGCCTTATTTTAGTATTGGTGTGTACGTGTTCCAGTACTAATGTGTTTTGATTCCTGAGGTTAGCTGTCATTTTTTCACCACCATCATTGTTAAAAAAGCCTTCCTGACTTCCCCAGGTGGGTGCTTTGTGCCAACCACACGGAGCCCGTGAAGGGCTTCCTTGGCCGCTTCCTGAGGAGGAAGCTCATGGAAACAGAAATCAGTGGGCGGGTGCGGAATGTGGAGCTGGTGAAAATCATTGACTGGATTCCCAAGGTCTGGCATCACCTCAACCGCTTCCTGGAGGCTCACAGCTCCTCGGACGTCACCATCGGTAGGTGGGGAGCAGGCAGGAGAGGGCGGGTGGGCAGGAGAAGAGATGATTGTCCCAAAGCCCTGGCTTCCTTGGATGTCTGCCCTCAGGGCCTGGCCAGGACAGCTCTTTACAGCACAAGCCAGCTGGACGCTGGACTGCCCATGCGGATAGAGAAGGAGCTCCCGGACAATCGCAGATCAAGGCAGACCCTGAATGCCTGTCACCCACGTCCCGGTGCTGTGTCTCTAGGCCCCTGTCTCCCGTGCTCAGTGATTAGCAGAGGAGAGATGCAGCCAGCCCAGGCTGATGCAGAGACTGCCAGCTCAGGGGAGACCCCAGCCTCGTTCAAACTCCCCTTTGGGATTCGCTTTGCTTTAAAACTGAAATAAAAGTTTAACAACATTCCTGAAGGTTTGAGGTTTAGAACAGAGGGGAAAAAATCACCCATCATCCTATCATCCTGATGTGATCATTTTAATTGGGGCTTATTTCCTCTGTCCTTTCCATATGTATGTGCTTTATTTATGTGGTTCCAGTCATAGTCTACGCAGTCTATTCCCTTTTGTCACTTTGCATTATCTCATGAGCATTCCATGTTGCTACTCAGTTTTTATAATTACAGTGTTTAAAACTGCATAATAAAACGTGCTGTTGTACTGTCATTTGCTTAACCATTTTCATTCTCTTGGACATTTAGTGTGCTGCCATTTATAAAAAACCACAATTAGTAAGACTGCAATGAACAGCTTTCTCCATAAATCATTGCCTGTCTTCTAGATGATTTCCTTGGAGAGAGACCCCAGGGATGGGAGTAGGGAGTCTCGGTGTCCTGCCCTGTGTCCACCTCCCAATGCCTGGTATTTCTGTTGTCAGTCCTGCCCTTGGTCAGAGGTTCCAGGCTCCCTTCTTACAGGATGCTCAGGCCATGGCTTCATCTGATATCCCCCATTTCAGCCTCTGACTTATTTTCATTGTGGTCCCCAGGCCCCCGGCTCTTCCTTTCATGCCCCATCGATGTGGATGGCTCAAGGGTGTGGTTCACTGACTTGTGGAACTACTCAATTATCCCCTATCTCCTGGAAGCCGTCAGAGAAGGACTCCAGGTGAGAAGCATGCTGCCAACCGGCATCCTCAGATTTGAAGGAGGTGTTCTTGTGACCAAATGAGTTGCCTTTATCTCCTTTTTCAGGAATCTGGTTGACATGGGGTGACAGCCCCTCATCTGTGAGGTCATCAGTATAGACAATATAGGATACATTTGGCTGCAACTCCTGGCTCTGCTACTTGTCAGCTGTGTAACCCCACGCAAGTCATTTAGCCTGTCTGTGCCTCAGTTTTCACATCTGTAGAAGGGGATAATAATAGTATTCTGCCACATAGTGTTGTTGCCAGGTCCCAATGAAACCAGCCTAGTAAGTGCACAAGACATGGAAGTATACATATGTATAGCACTTCAAAGTCTGCAGAATGTTCTCATGTGGACTATTTGATTTGAGCCCTGGATTAGTCTTGAAACTAGGGTAAAGATGTTTTTTATCTCCATTTTTCAAGAGAGGAGATTGAGGCTCCAGGAGAATAAGTGACATGCCCAAGGTCATAAAATGGAAACTTGAAGGAGCTGGGATTTGACTCTGTGCCTTTGGCTCAAAACCCAGGTTCTCACCTCAGCCCCACAACACTCACTGCATGACCTCAGGACCCCTCCAGGTGACTATGGAGCCTGTGAGGCTGCAAGTCTCCCCTGCCGTGTGGCTGCTGGAAAGAATGAATTCTTCACTTCTCACTCAGCCCAGGGTTTAACACTAGGTGGTTACCCTAAAATTAGAGTTTGCAACAATTTGATTGTTAAGCCTGGAGGCAGCCTGAAGTTCTGTGGGCTTTCAGCACTGGCGCTGAGTAATGAGCAGGCATCATGCCCGGCTGAATAATCCTAGAACTAGTTGAGCAGACCGGTTTCTGAGGGCTTCTTTGTTTCCTCAACACTGAGCAAAGGAAGATACGAGAAGGGTTTGTGTGCCCACAGAGTGTGAGGGAAGGATGCACACATGCATATACATGTGTGGCAATACACATCAATGGCTTCAGCCAGTGTTTGTCATTTCTGTACATTTGACTAAGGCTGGTGAATATTTGTGTGCTTAGTATCTATGGTTCTTAATTGCTTTGTACAGCAGCAATCATAGTCTTCAGAGGTCTTCAGAACAATAAAGAACTCAAGAAAGGAAGATAGTGTGCCTCTCATAGCTGGTATTTCACTGAACTAAAACATATATACTACTAATTTAAGCCGCCATGTTGAAATATAAGAGTTTTGTGAAGGCAGAGAATAGCAAGAAATTAGACAGTCCCTTGGCCGGCCCAAAATCATTAGTTAGCAGTGTCTAAAGAGCATTACTTGATGGCAGCATTTGCTATTTTTTGTATCAAATATTGCTTACATAGAAAGAAGTATGAAAGATTCTAGATCTTTGCACTGGAGTCTCCCTAGATGAATAAGTTCACTGGCGTGGGTAAATGGACATAACTTAGCTTCTTATAAAATGGGTTGGTTAGTACCAGCATACACCCAACAGCCACTCCTGTCTTCTTGGGCCGTGGAAGCACCTCCCACACCACTGGATTCCTGCAGTCTGTTTCATTTCAGAAGCTTCTCTCTCCTATTCTCAATGGCTTCTAGGGACTGCAGTATGTCCAATGCCTCTGGAAAACCCAACCTGCTTCAAAGAATTTGATAAATTGCAGGCAGAGGAAATACATTGTGTCCTCCTGTTCACTTCTCACCTCTCAGTTCTCCCACTTGCTTCCTCTTTACTACAAATGCATCTTCTGGTGAGAGAAGGTGTGTGACCTCAGAATATGCTTGGAAGAACTTATGGACATTGTTGAATAAAGGCCTCCCCTACTCAAGGAGGTACCAACTGGGAGGGGGAGCCTATCTGAGCTTCTGCCTTGGCCTGCAAATCAGTGGGCCTCTTGTTGGTCATCACAAGGGTTGGTGGTGCCAAGACTCTGCTCCCTTGGATCTAAACGGGATAAAAGGCCTTCCGGGCATGGCTGTGGAGGTGGGGTCTGTAGCCCCCTCCCTGTCTAGGAGTGGCTGCTGATGGAAGTTATCAGAGAGGAAGATTGAGTCTTCCTCCCCCCAAGAGTTAGCAGCATACAGGCTGGAAAGACTTGGAGATGGCTGTGGGCAGGGAACATAGGCATGCCACCTGCGCTTACCGGTTCAGTGTGAAGCTTACCCTTCTAAGATAGAAAGGTCATTGCTTCATTCTGCTACAGTGTCATTTGAAGGACAGTCTTTCAAGAGAGTGGGAGCAGTGAAGGCAGCTGGCCAGAGTTAGCACTCTACCAAATTGCTCAGAAGCCAGCCACCCTGCGCCAGACCTGCAGTCTTATCCTGATAACACCCCCAAAGAATCTGCTGATTCTTAAGGAAACCTGCTGTGTTCTTCATGCCTCTGGTTTTGAAGGAAAGTGTGCTGACATTTATTGAGGGCCTGCTACTTGCCAGGCACTGTATTGGGGGCCTGACATACATGATCTCATTTAGTTCCTACAGCCCAATGAGTATTTTACAGACAAGGAAGCCATGGCTTTGTAACTTACTCAAGTTTATTCAGCAGAGGATGGTGGAACCAGCATTGTAACCCAGGGCTAGCTGACTCCTCTGCTACTTCCATGATTTTCAGGCTGTCCTGAGAAGCCTATAACTCCATGGAGAAGCCTCAGGGGGCTCAAAGAACAGGGTATTCTGTTTTATAAAGTGGAGCTCTGCATAAGATTTTATTTGACGAAAGGATTCCTTTATTTGTTTATTCTTACTTGCCAAAGCTTAAGGATGCTATTTATTTATTTTTAATAGTTTATTTTGTTTTTTGGTTGTTGATGTTGAGAATATACACAGCAGAACATACACCAATTCAACAATTTCTACTTGTATAATATTCAGTGACATTGGTTACATTCTTTGAGTTGTACCACTGTCACCCTGCTTTTCTGAGTTGTTCTTCCCCCGTTAACATAAACTCAACTGCCCCCTAAGCTTCCTGTCTAATCTTTTGAGATGCTGTTTTCAATTTGATCCCATGTAGGTAGTTCTTAAAAGAGTACAGTGCTAAAGGTAGACTCTTTACTAATTAAGCGAAACTATTGTTTGGTTTAAGGAAGACTTCAGGGGATATTTTTTGGTTTAAAGTTTAAAAATTATCTCAGGGCAATAGTTTCAGGGGTTAAGACAAGACATTTGGAATTCCCTGCCCTCCTGCATATGACCATTGAGTGCATGCTTGCTGTGCTGGGCACTGCAGCACCAGTTAAACTCCACACCTAACCTTGCAAAGTGAACAAGAGGGAACTGAGTACACAGCAATTCAGGGCAGGAAAACCCTCACCCAAGGTTACAAGCTAGGAAGAGATGGAGTGCCCGGAGTGTGCTCTGACAGAGCTGCTACATGTCATGAGCTCAGAACGAGGCTGCCTGTGGTGGTGTGGCCTTGGTGGGCACATAGGGGAGACCCTGCTGTAATCAGGCCTCAGCATCAGCTTCTAGACAGCGGCCTTCTGTGGACACATCCATGCCTAGAGGAAATGTGGTATCGCCCCCTGGTGGATACCAGATATCTCTGCAGGTTTTGTCTCTGGTGTATTAGTGCGTGCCTGTGTCTGTCAGCTCGGAGGTTCTTTCTCAGTGTATATCTTGATGCCTCTGTGTGTGACGTACTTGGTCTCCTGATAGCCCCATACATTCTACAGTGTCCAAATGCTCACAGGGGCCCGGGTGGTAGTTTCCAATGTCCTAGGCTTCCCGCTGCCCTGTTCTTCTTCCTGATCCATTGAGGGTGCCAGTTTCCTTCTCTCCCTTGGGGAAAGTTAATGCTCTATCGGTCTGTCTGTCTGTCTATCCAACTGTCTCTGCTGCCACCCTCAGGGCTCTGCAGTGGGTCCCAGGAGCTTTATGTTATTTCTTTAGCTATATCATGGTACTTACCCAGCCATTCATCACCTGGACTTAAGCATGTCTGGCGGCAAGTAGGGATGCTTATAAAAATATGTTGTTCTTGCAGATGGTATTAGCATGCGCCTGATGTGCATTTGTCTTATGACTCAGTCCTCACTCCCCTTCCCCTTTAGAGTTGTCATTGGAAACATTTGCCAAAATGCCTGAAGTCTACAGAGTAACCCTAAAGACCTCCGTGCCCAGGGCAGGCCTAGTGTCTCCAGGGTGTGGGTACAGTGGAGGGGGGTGAACGTGTGGCTTTTATCAGATTGCCCTAACCTGTTATGAGACCTGGGTAAGTCTGCCCTCTCTAGGCCTCAGGTTCCCCATCTGTAAACTGAAAACTTTAGACTAGAATAGGGTATTTTTTCATACTGGCTTCTGTGGAGCCCAAAAATGCCTTAAACCTCATTCAGTGGTGGGGTATCAGGGGAGAAGAGCAAATGTTTGAAAACTTCCAGGCTAGATTATCTCCAGGGACTCAGTGAGCTTCGAGTTCTAGCTTCTGTGGTTTTGCAGCCTGGAGTGTCTCGTCATCCAGACCAGGGGTACAAACTGAAGCAGGAGCTGTCAGACGTGAGAATTTGGTTCAGCTTCACACATGTGAGGTCTGGCTTGGGAAAGGCAGCCCAGTTCCACAGGGAGAGTTCTCGGAGGGAGAAGCTGCTAAAAATTGCAAGAATGCCTTCTAATTTATACCAGCCTTCTTCAGCACTGAATATCCCACTGCTTCTGTGTTCTGTTCCTCCTTGTCACACACCACCCTTCACATGATCTCTTCTTGCTCAGACTGTACTGCTTTTAGACTCTGCCAGGCTGAATTCCCAGGCCCAAGACTCATCATTGCCCCAGGTTAAGGAAGGGTTGGCAGCAGATCCCGACAGGAGGGGCTGGCGTCTGGGAAAGCGATGAGGTCATAGGAGGGTGTCTGTCTTGAGTGGAGGGAGAGGCAACTGCTAATGAAGAAAGATGAGCCCATCCGAGATACGGGTTGGGTGGGCCGCTTCCCTGACAGAAATCATAAGGCAAAATTCAGAGGCGGCTTAGGTGAGTATGAGACAATGGACATACTGGTGGAGGGGACCAAATACCCAGCCCAGGTTGAGTTGGTGTCTGGTGACCAGCCTAGTCAGCCTCTCATTGCTCCAGTGCTGCCCGAGTCATGTGGGTCTTGCTGATACCAAGTGGTTCAAAGTAGAGTCAGCCAGGAGGCGTGAAGAGGGGAAAATCCCTGGACAAGGAAGCTGGGGCCCTAGCTTGAAATCTGGCTCTGCTCCATAACCTTTCACCACTGACTCTTCTCTTCCAGCCTCAAGTTCCCCATCTGGTAAGTGAGAATGGTGGCTGGTGGGGGAGGAGGTAGGTGACTCCCGGCTCCTTCCAGCCGAGGCAGCCTCTGACTCTGGTAGATGTGGTTTTAGTCATTTTAGAGCTCAGCTCACTTCTGCAATCAGCACCCTGCTCTCTGCCCTCCCCGCTCCACTGTAGAAGGTCTGGGGAGACTGAGGGAGCAGACATACAGACAGCCCATAGCCCAGATGCTACTCCATCCTAGAGCCCCACTGCCTGGCGGGAGTGGTGTCCCTTGTAGGCCAGGAGTCTTTGATCCTTGTAGCCTGAGGCACCCTTTGAGCGGATGCCCCCCAGACCCACAGACAGCACTACCCTGGGTGGGCACAGCCTGGGCTGGAGCACACCTTGCCTCACCTCCAGCGGTCCAGAGCGGGACAGTTCTGGATTTCAATGCTGGCTCCATCCTCACTGTTTCCTCATCTGGCAAACACAGCTGGTAATCCTTCCCCGTGGAGTCACAAGGTGGTTAAATACGTTATTTGTAAGGTGCTTCTCAAAGTACCTGGCACACAGTAAGCTGTCAGGTATGTTGTTGTTAAAGAGGAAAGATATAAAGACTACACCTAGCTACGTACAATGCAGAGCCTGGCTGTGGGAAGTGATCCAGCCTAGGTTTTTGCGCTGTGCACTAAAGATAAAGAAATAAGGCCCATTCCCTGTCCTCAAGGAGTAGGGGAGGCAGATAAGCACAAGCCACGTGCCATGAAACATAGAGGGAAAAATGACAGAGAGGAAGGGTTACATCAAAGGGGACATTTAAGTGGACCTTGAACAAAGTAGAATTTCTCTGGGGACCAGCCGGAGGGAGGTGCCAGGGTCCCAGGTGGGTGGAGAGCACAGGTAAAGGGTAACGCGTGGAGACCTGGAGGGATATGGCGTGCTCTGCCTGGCTGGAGCTGTAAGGGTCATGGAGGGATGTGGATATAGACAAGGATGGGGAATCAGGCTGAGGTCGGATCATGATGAAAGGCCTTGAAGTCCCATAGAGCTGTCTGCTCTTTGCCCTTGAGTCCTTGGGGAAGAACTCTGAGCAGGGAAGTGAGCTGCACCGTTTGGCTTCCACTGTGTCCCCTGCCCCTGGCACAGCGATGCTCAGTACGTGTGTGTTGAATGACTGCATGAAGTAGAAAGAACCAGCTCACACAGTCCAGGAGCTGCAGCCATTGTCCAGATGACAGATGACCTGAGCCAGAGAGGGGCTGGGGCTGGATGTGAGAGATGGCTGGAGGCAGAGGCCAGGTACATCAGCAGCACAGGGTGATGGTGACTTCAGGAGGCCCGTCTGCCAGGAGAGTCCATGTCAGAGTCTAGTTTGGTTTGTCCAGAAATCTTCCCAGTTCCCCTTTGCTGCCTCCAGAAGTGAGCTGAGAGATAAAAACTATTAGTTTCTGGCATGGTGGACACAGGTGAGAATGAGAGGCAAAAGATGGTCGCATTTCTGTCTTTGGGGTTTTTTAAGCCCTGCTAATATTTTGGAGTATTTCCTTCCAATCTTCTTTTCTATGTTTATAGACTTGTTATCACAGTTAACAACATACTGTATGGATTATTTTATGATCTTTATTTTTTTTTTACTCACCATTTTAACACAAGTCTTTCCCCCATGGTATTATAAGCCGTCTGGCAATGTTATTTTAATGACTGTCCATAGGTGTGTTTTATGAGTGTATGTTAAGCATTTAACCAGTCCCCCAGTGTTTCACATGTGGATTGTGTCCAGTTTTCTCTATTATTAACAATATTATAAGAATAATAATGACAGGAATTCATCAAACACTTCCTACATGCTAGGTAAAGTACTTTACAAACACAGTCTAATCATTTAACTCTAAAAACAACTCCGTGGCATAGGTGGCGTGATGCCCCTTGGAACACTGAGCCTCAGAGAGGTTAAGATGCTCCCTCAGGGCTACACAGTGAGTTGGTGACAGAGCTGAGATGTGAACCCACGTTTGCTTGGCTCTAATGCCTGTGCCCTTGACCACTGGGTCATGCTGCCTTCAGTCTGAGCACATCGAGCATTCTGAGTGTCGGATGACTTCCTTAGGATAGAATTTAGAAGAGCAATTACTTGACCAGAGGAGGAGGCATAGTGCTGGGTTTGGGGAGTTTTGCAGAAAGCTGCAGGATTGGAGCTGCCGGAGAGGTATGGGCTCACTTCCATCCTGTTCCCTCTTTGCTTATTTCAGCTGTATGGAAGACGGACCCCCTGGGAGGATCCTGCCAAGTGGGTGATGGACACCTACCCATGGGCAGCCAGCCCTCAGCAGCACGAGTGGCCTCCGCTGCTGCAGCTGCGGCCTGAGGATGTGGGCTTCGATGGCTACTCCATGCCTCGGGAGGGCTCGACGAGCAAGCAGGTGCCCCCTAGTGACGCGGAAGGAGACCCGCTGGTGAGTTCCCAGCTTCGGGGGCAGCTCGGCATTCATTGGACACTCCCTGCATATTGAGCTTGATGCAGGGCCCTCTGGAAATACGAAGATGGCTTGGGAAGGCTGGACCCACCCCAGGATTAGGGACATTTTTACCAGTGTTATCTTCTGTGGTTTTATTTTTTCCCTTAAGCCTTTAACAATTCTGAAATTTATTCTGGTGTAAGTTTGGTAATTTGATTTTTTTCCTAAATGATTAGCCGATTGTCCTTACCCCACTCCTTGCCCTCAGACTTGAGATGCCAACTTTACCATGTACTGTCCTGTTCCACTGATCTCCCACACTGGTAACTATGCAGAGACAGGGAGAGCTGAGGACCACAAGCCCAAGAGCATAAGCAGGGAGAGGTCTGAGGGCAGAAGGGACTCTCAGTGGACAAGGGGGCCAGAGTATGGTCCCATGGCCAGTGAGACATGTTAAGTCTTTAACACTACCTGGGCTGCTTATTTAGTCTACTTTTGCTAAAGCAATGCACCCATTCACCACTCAGTTGTCGTAGAGTCGATTCCAACTCATGATCCCCCGGTGGCGCCAATAGTTATGCACTTGGCTACTAACCAAAAGGTTGGCAGTTTGAATCCACCCAGAGGCACCTCAGAAGAACAGCCTGGTGATCTAGTTCTGAAAGGCCACAGCCACTGAAAATCCTATGGAGCACAGTTCTCCTCTGAAACATGTGGGATTGCCATGCTTAAGCAAAAACACGCCCTTTAACAAGCACCTGAGCCAGTCACGGTCATGCTTTTGTGGGAGATTGTATACCATATTAGTGTAGCTCAGTCTCAGTACTGAATCCCAGACTTTTCATCCCCTTCATACTTTATTCTTCATCTTTTAATTCCAGGATAGCTAAAACATGGCATACTTGCTACATCTCCACCCTCCTGCTCATGGCAGACATTGCTAATCAGTCATGGCACTCTCTACCAATATAAGACACATACCTAGTCATACTGTTAAATTAAAACTAACGAATCAACAGGAAGACATATACCAAAATCCCCCCATGGTTAAGTGACTGTTATCACATCTTAAATTTAGCTCTGAGCTTCCTTGGCAACTAAGGCAAAAGGAAAAACAACAGAGAATATTATTTGCATTACATAATGAAAGAAAATAGTCATAAGAGATGCAGCAGGTAAAAGAGACAATGGATTTTCTGTCCTATCCCTCGCACCTAATTGATTTGCCAAATAATAGGTGATTTCTGTTGCTGGGTGTAGCTATGATCCTGTTGATGCTTTTAACAGGCACTAAATTTTGAAAGAATTTATTATTTGTGTCACTGTGCAAGAGCTTTGAACAAACTGGTTTGCTGTGTTCACAACAATGGTTTCACAGAGGAGAGCAGTGTCTTTCAAACAGCCATTTCTAATGTTAAGCATTGCTAAAAGCCAAGGTCCCTGGGTGAACACAGAAAGTGTTTAGGTGAGACCTAGGGGCTCTCGGAACAGTTACCCAGGATTCTCCTTCTGACTCCAGGCCCCCAGAAATGAGCTGTGCCAGCTCCCTGCCCGACTTGCCATAGTAGACATTTGGTATTTCTGCCAAGTCCCGTCCCCTCTGCCCAGCACCTCCAGTCTCTGTTGTCCTAGCTCTCTTGTTTACTAATCTCTCTCCCTCCATGAAACTCCGTGGTTTTATTCCAGAGCCTTGCGTAGTATATGGACTCTCTGAGGATGTTTGATGAGTAAAGGATTGCCCCTTGTACTCCCTCTCCACCTCTTCCCTGGGGCCTGGCTCTGCAGAGGGCCGGCAGCCTGATGGTGCTTCTGTGGTCTGGCTCCCCAGGGAGACCCTCCACAAGGCGTCTTGGAGGGACAGCTGACCAGGAAGCAGCCGGATTTCTCGCCCGGCCACACCATACCTTAGCTTAGCTCAGAGAGGTCCTACCTTCCTGACTTACTTGCTAGGCAAGTGTAAATACACATTCACATGCACACATAATTTCTAGTTATAAATGAAATCATGGTAACCCTATGTGTGCAGAACACCTCATAGGGTTTTCAAAGCTGTGACCTTTCAGAAGCAGATCACCAGGTCTGTCTCCGGAGGTGCCTCTGGGTGAGTTCAAACCACCAACTTTTCGGCTAATAGTCAAGCGCGTAACCGTATGTACCACCTAGGGGATCAGCTCAATGGCAACTAACAACAACAGAAAAATAGCCCCCTCCCCACTCCGAACAAATGACGAGTGGGATGTAGACCAGGGAGCACTCAGGAACACCATCTTAAATTCTTTTCTTTGAGTCAGATGATGATGATAATAATGAAGATTTTAGTAGATCACATTTATTGAGCACTTAAGATGTGCCGGGCAATGTGCCCTCTTCTAAGGGCTTAAGCACATGAGGTCATTTTAGTCCCTGCTTCAACTCTGTGAGCGAGGTCCTGCTGTTCTCCTCACTATGTAGATAAGGAAATGATGACTCAGATACTTTATGTAATTTGGCTAAAAATTCCTACATCACAGTCAAGGTCTGTGGGCTGTCTATCTGCTTGTGGGCAGTGCTCTCTGCCTCCCCACAAAGACTTTGTCAGGCTCTGAAGCTCAGTTGGCTCCAGGTTGACCTCTGGCCAGAGCCAGGAGGACATACGGGCTGCTGCTCATCCAAGGGCGAGCCATGTGCTTCAGAAGCCAGCAGTGCTAATGTGCTTGTTCCAGAAGCAGGGATGCTAAATTAGTATCTTCACCTGGGTAGAATGTGCCCCTCCCAAATAAAAAAAGTATTTATAGAAAACTTTCTATTTTAGGTGCTTTGCATATATTTACTCAGTCCAAACCATAGCCTTATAGGGAGGGTGCTGTCATCCACAACTGACAGATAAAGAAACTGAGGCACAAGGAGATAAAGTAAGTAGCCCAAGGTCATACAGCTTGTAAATGGTGAGGCCTGGATGTGAACGCTGGAAGCCTAGCCCAGAGTCCCTTCTCTTGTCCTCTGCCTCCATTGTGGGCTGTGATCCCTGGGTGAGTCTGGAGGAGGTAGCATGAGCTTCTAAGAGGCCAAGGGTTGAGAGCTGACGAGGTTGATGCCCTCTCACGCTCTCTGCTCTTTCCCCAGATGAACATGCTGATGAGGCTGCAGGAGGCTGCCAACTACTCCAGCCCCCAGAGCTACGACAGTGACTCCAACAGCAACAGCCATCATGATGACATCCTGGACTCGTCCTTGGAGTCCACTCTGTGACAGGGTCCCAGCCATGGAGCCAGCTCACCTCCTCTTCTCCTCGCCCCCCTTCACCTGCACGCTCTGCTCCATCCTGAAAATGATCTCCTGAGCCAGCCTCCAGCCGCAGCACTTGAGCTGCAGGAACACCAAGACCCCTCGTCCCTCAGCCTTGACCTGGGTGCAGGCCCCCCAGTCCAACCACCTTGGGACCACTTCCTTCTGACAGTGAGAACTGCACTACATTTTGTTTTATTTTAATGATTCTGTTCGGCCTTGTTGCTGTTGACCTCCCTAAGACACTGAAGATACTTCTCGGGAAAGGCTCATCACTGCTGAAATGAAAAGGGAAAGAAAGAACCCACTAGAAGCTCTGAAACCAAACTGTATCCTACTGTGAGCTGCCCAGAGACAGAAGAGACTGGAGCAAAGCTGGAAAAGCAGACAGCACTGCTTCCCATCATCACAGTCCCTGCGAACCGGGTCTAGCCATCAGCGCCCCCACATCCACGCCAACCCGCCTCCTGCCCAGCTCACTACAGAGAGAACTGGTGCTAACTAGGGCACTTACTTTGGTCATCCTCAACAAACTACACAGCTACGACACAGGGAAACCTTAGGAAAAAATTAATCGTGCTTTTTCAGTTTTATTAATGGTGCTCTCCTTCTCTGAGAGGTATTTTGCCTGTTCCAATTCAACCACACCTTTCAGGTCCATCACCCTCTGATGAATCCATGTGAGCGAATGAAGGGATGAGAGTGTGAGCGTGCGGATGTGGCTGTCAGTGCAGAACAGCATGTGTCTGTTTCCGTATGTAAAAATGAATCAGGTTTCTTTTCTCAAACACTGTGTATAGTGAGAATTGCTCTACTTTGGAGAACTGATTACCCCTTTGAAAATGACATCACATTTCTCTTTTACTGGCTCATTGATTTTGAAGATGTTTCTCCCTTCCCTCATGGTCAGAATCAATCCTTTGGCGAAAGTAAGAACCGCAGGAGTTGAGTTTTGGTTTGGTCCTGCTCAATTATGTTTTTTAGTTGTCCATCCTAACAGTTCTACATGCTCGCCTCCTACTGCTGGAGCTGGGGGTCTTTTTGTCTCTCTAAAGTGGACGAGGACTCCATCCTCAAGACATAGGTGAGCCATGACCTTTTCTCCTCGTCCTTGAGGCTTCAGAGTGCACATCTATACCTCGAGCAGCCCAGCCCCAACTGCAGATGGGTGGTGAGGTCACCTTGCAAGACTTGCACTTTTTTGGGAACCAACAAGACACAACTCAACAGGAGCGGCCTTCCCAGCAGCCCCAGCCCCTCCCTCCATCCGGACAAGCCTTGCCTGACCTCTTCGGTGCTGACCTTCCCAAAGAGATGCCTTACTGGTTTTGTACTAACCGTGTTCATTTACACGAGTGCCATGCCTGACTGGGGGTTCGTTTTTTGTTTTCCCCATCGAAGCAAACAGGGCTAAAAAGTCATCTTTTCATTAGGAGCACCCAACTTGCTGTGATTTTTCTCATCTAAAAGACTCAGTTGTGTGGATGTGTGACTATGGGAAAAATGAAAAAAAAAAAATTCATTTTTGGTTCTTATCAGTCTCCAGCCAACAGCCAGACTGGAATAATGATCTGTCTCTTATGCAGGAAAAGGCAAACTTTCCTACAAGTCTACATGACATTGCTGATACACGCCCTGATAGAAACCCAGTTTGCCGTGTCTTCAACATACTGGTATTTTCTTTCCAGAGTGTGGTAAATCTTTGAGTTGTTGTTTGTTTTATAGAGAGTCTTTATTGTACCCCAGTGAGGGTTTCTGTTAATGATCAGGGTTTTTATTCCATCTTTTGCATTTCTATTTCTGAGAGTATGACTCTTTGCTTTCTTACCTTCTTACCACAAGAGCTTGACCTGAAACTGCTCACGTCACATTGGCTGACGCCATTTTCTTCCTCTTTGAAAGGAAACGGGGAAAGTGTCCCACTAACTGGTAAACGGAAGGCCTCTCCACTCTGTCCCTGCTTTAATCCCAGTAAACTCAGACTATTCAACTTAGCTTTTATTAGTCGACTGTGCCTGTGTGTGTATCTGGTTCTGTTTTTGTTCTTAATAAAAATTTTAAACCATATAGTTAGCCTGTGACCAAGGGCCAAACCCTGAGCCCTCTGGTAAACCCAAAGGTTGGCCCTTCTCAGATGATTTTATCTCCCAACGATGATCTTACACTTTCATACTGTGAATTTGGGAGAAGATAAAATTGACTTCTCCTCGTGGGCAGTTTTCCCAGTCACCTTGTGAGTAGACACCTAGCAATATTGTTTGAAACATTTTTTTTTTTATGACGCCCTCTCTTCCTCTTCTCCCATCTCTCACAGACTTCCCTCCCACTGGGTCCAGGCTCAGAACCGAGATCTCTGTACCTGGTGCAGCCCGATTGGTGAGTGGTGAGTTCAAGTAGCATGACCCTTGTAGGATTCACAACTCGGGGTCCTTCCTAAAGTTTCCGGAAGCAGAGATATCTAATATGCACATTTCTTATTTTGATCATATTTTAGCGTCACTCGCCTTTGACGAAGTAACTTTGTGCTCATTTAGGGCTCTGTCCAAAATGCTTCCATTTTGCTTTTTTCTACAGTTAGGCTAATTCTGAAATGTGTGAAGTTCTATGCAACATTTATGTTGAGTTACCAATGGAAGCCAAAAGTTTTCTTTCCAAACTGCCAAGAATTATACAGGCCATAAATGAGATGGGAATGCCTTTTAATTTAAGGTGGGGGTGAGGGGGTGGGGAAGGGACAAGGAAAAGGACTCATCTAGATCTTTGTTGTACCTTGGGGACATTTTTTATTTTATTGTTGATGCTTAAACTTCAAAGTGCTGTGTATTCAAATTTGTCTGATCATGACGAATCTACTTCAAAAGGAAAAAGAATCCAACTTTATGGATATTGAATGGAAGTTTTGCTGTTTTGAGCTAGTTATTTTCAGTGGAGCGGTTTATGAAATATGTTCTATAAGATGTACATTTTTTCATTGTAACATAGAAATTGTAAATAACTGATTAAAGTGCTGCATTTTGATGAATTTTTTCTAGCCATTTTTAAAGAGAAAACTAGGAATTGAGTATTTTGTGTACGGTATGTTTCATCCTTCCTCCTTCCCTCCCTCCCTCCCTATTTAATTTTCATTTGTCATGAGGTTTTGAATTTGCCAGTGATCTGTTGGAGATCATGCCCCACATCATAGAGAATAAAGCTGATGATTGTACCAGTCTTAAATTATTCATGATTCAATAAAATTGATGCTTATTTATTCAGATTAGCGGTTTGGCTTGTCTGTGCTAGAGCAAATCCTCATCAGCGTTCAGTTTCATGCCAAGAAGTCTGTCTTGTCTAGATGCAGCAAACACTTTCAGGGAAAACCCAAAACATTTGCCAGTCTGTCTTGGCCACTACTATGTCATGAAGATCCCACCTCTTCTCGTTTTCTCATTTAAGTTGTCATTACTCATGTGGAACTTATTAGAACTGCAGGATCTCAGGCTCCACTCAAATTTTATGAATCACTGGGGATCTTGTGGAAATGCAAATTCCAAATCAGTAGGTCTGGGATGGGGCCTGAGATTCTCAGTTTCTATATAGCCCCCTCCGGTTTTACCAATGCTCTGATCCCTGAACCATGCTGCATAGCAAGCAATATCAGTCCCCAGTTGGCCCCCATTCATCCCCCTGGCATGAGAAAGATTTAATGTATTGAGAACCTACTAAATGCCAAATGCTTTCCCGAAAACTCTAATATAATCCTCAATGTGACCCTAGGGAGGTAAATATTCTTATTTCCATTTTACAAGTTAAAAAAAAAGGCTCAAAGAAAAAGACTTGCCAGGGATCCTATAAGAGGTGAGAGAGCTGGAGTTTCAGCCCCATTTTGGACTCCAAATCCTGCCTTGCCCTGCTGCCTATAACTTTATGGGTCCCATTCCATGTTGCAGCCCACATCCAGAGCAGAGAGAGACAGTGGGAGATGGCATCACATGTTAGCGTTTACTTTTAAGTGCAACAACAAAAAATTTAAAAGGTTGATTTGAAGTCGAGCCTTGTGGGTTCACTGTGAAATTGATCCTACTCAGCTGGCCCAACTGCTAGCGTCATGAAATGTTCAACTTATTGGAACGTACAACAATGGTCTAATCCAGGGGAATCCAGATGTTTTAGCACAACATTTTTTAATGCCTGTCAAAAAATGAAGGAGAGTGGTATAATGGTTTGACGCCCAGATGTCTTGAATTTCCAAGAGTTTCCTTATCAAATATTCTGTCCCTCTGCTAGACAATGTGTTCTCATTTTATCTAGGAAACATCAGCATACGTAAAGGGCGTGATGGGCCAGATGCCTTTTTAAAAAAATTATTATTGTGGTAAAAATAGACACAATAAAGAATCTGCCATCAGTGTACAGTCCAGTGGCATTAATCATACTCACAATATGGTGCAACTATAGCCACTATTTGTTTCCGAAACTTTATCATGTCAAACAGAAACTCTGTACCCATTAAGCAACATCTCTCTATTCCCTCTCACCACTACTCCAGCCCGTGGTAACCACTAATCTACTCTCCGTCTCTATGCATTTGTCTATTCTAGGTATTTCAGGTAAATGGGATCATACAATATTTTTCCTTTTGTCTGACTTATTCTACTTAGTATGTTTTCAAGGTCTGTACGTGCCATAGCACACACTAGAATTTTGTTGCTTTTTATAGCTGAATATTCCGTTGTACATATGTACCACATTTTGTTTATCCATCTTTCTGTTGATGGACACTTGGGTTGTTTCCACCTTTTAGCTATTGTGAATAATGCTGCAGTGAACACTGATATACAAGTATCTGTTTGAGTCCTTGCTTTCAGTTCTTTTGGGTATATATATAGCAGTGGAATTGCTGGGTCATATGCTAATTCTATGTTTAACTTTTTGAGGAACCACCAAAACTGTTTTCCACAGCTATTGCACCATGTTACCTCCCCACTAGATAAGGATTCCTATTTCTCCACATCCTCACCAGCACGTATTTTGTCGGTAGTGGGTGTGAAGTGGTATCTCATTGTGGTTTTAATTTGCACTTCCCTAATGACTAATGATGTTGAGCATCTTTTCATATGCTTATTGGCCATTTGAGTATCTTCTTTGGAGAAATGTCTATTCAAGTCCTTTTCCTTTTCCTTTTTTTGGTTGGATTGTTTGTCTTTTTGTTGTGGAGTTTTAGGGGTAATTTATATGTTCTGGATATTAAACTTATCAGGTATATTATTTGCAAATACTTCTTCTCATTCTTTAGGTTGTCTTTTCATTTTCTTTATAGTGTTATTTGGTGCACAAAAGGCTTTTTATTTTGATGAAATCCAATTTATCCATTTTTTCTTTTGTTTCTTGTACTTTTAGTGTCAGATCTAAAAATCCATTGCTAAATACGAGGTCCTGAAGATTTGAGCTTATGTTTTCTTTTAAGAGCTGTATGGTTTTAGCTCTTATATTTGGGCCATTAATCCTTTTTGAGTAAATTTTTATATATGGTGTGAGGTAGTGGTTCAACTTCATTCTTCTACTTGTGGAAATCCAGTTGTCCCAGCACCATTTGTTGAAGAGTGAGCTAGATGACTTTTTAAAGGCAAAGGAAGGAAGATAACTATGCATTTAAATACTTACTGAGTGCCAGGCATTGTGCTGAGGACTTCATTTTATCACATGTAATAATAGCTCCTCTAGGAGGTGGACATTTTTATCTCTTTCTTTACAGGAGAGAAGATTGAGGCTTCTTAGAAATGTTAAGAGAACTAGTTCTACAGCCCATCCCCTTTTTGCTACATCATGCTTAGGTTGCAATTTGAGGGGAAGATTACATATCCCTTCTGTGTTAGTTATCCCTTGCTGCATAACAAAATACCACAAAACTCAGCTTAAAGCAACAAACGTTTGTTATCTCACGGTTACTATGTGTCAGAGTTTCTCACAAGGCTGCAGTCAAGGTGTCTTAAATATTCACAAGAATATTTAAAAGAAAGAAGCATAAGAAACATCATAGTTAATGGTAAAACGCTAACTTCTCCCTTTCAGTTTAGGAGAAAGACAAAAAGATGCCTCCTATCACTACCTAATGGCATACTAGAGATTCTAGCCAGTGCAGAGAGGCAAGAAGAATAAGTTGTATGAGGATTGGAAAGAATGAACTAAGCAGTCTTTACCCACAGGTAACATTATGTACTGAAATAATCTCAAAAAATCCATAGACAATTTAGTTTGCTAGATTCAAAATCAGTACACAAAAATCAATTGAACATTTACATGCAGCAAAAAACATTTAAAAATACCAATTTAAGAACATCAAAAATATCAAATACATAGAAATAAATAAAAGATGTGCAAGACCTTTACAAAGAAATCTATAAAACATTATTGAGAGATGGTTGCACAACTCAAAGAATGTAAACAATGTCAATGAATTGTACATGTAGAATTTGTTGAATTGGTGTATGTCTGATGTGTATATGCTCAACATCAACAACAAAAATAAATTATAAAAACAAACATTAATTGAGAGAAATTAAAGAAGACTCAAATAGAGGGGTATATTATGTTTACAAAAACCTATTGCCATTGAGTCAATTCCACCTCATGGAGACTCTATTGCATTTACCCATGAAGATCAAAGACTTTAGCCTTCACCTATAGGCTCACTATGAGTCAGAATCAACTCGAGGGCAATGGGTTTGGGTTTCAGTATAGATTACACCTCAACATAAAACAAAAATCCTCACAACTGGACAAGTAACCAACATCATAAACAGAAAAAATATTGAGGTTGGCAAGGATTTCATTTTACTTGGATCAAAAATCAACCCCATGGAAACAGCAGTCAAAAAATCAAACGATGTATTGCATTGGGCAAATCTGCTGCAAACGACCTCTGTAAAGTATTAAAAAGCAAAGATGTCACTTTGATGACTAAAGTGCACCTGACCCAAGCCATGGTATTTTCAGTTGCCTCATAGGCATGCAAAAGTTGGACAATGAAAAAGGAAGACTGAAGAACTGACGCATTTGAATGATGGTGTTGGCAAAGAATATCGAATATACCATGGACCGCCAGAAGAACGAACCAGTTTGTCTTGGAAGAAGTATAGCCAGAATGCTCCTTATAAGTGAGCACAGTGAGACCTTGTCTCGCTTACTTTGGACACATCAGGAAGAGCCAATCCCTGGAGAAAGACATCATGCTTGGTAGAGGGTGAGTGAAAAAGAGGAAGACCCTCAACAAAATGGATTGACACAGTGGCTGGAACAATGGGCTCCAACATACCTACTATTGTGAGGATGGCACAGGACTGGGCAATGTTTTGTTCTATTATACGTGGAGTCACCATGAGTTAGAACCAACTCAATGGCACCTAACAACATTATGTTTAGGAAATGGAAGCCTTAGTGTTGTGAAGATCTCAATTCCTCCATAAAGGACTATAAATTTGATGTAATCCATTCAAAAGCCCAACAGGGTCTTTGGTGGAATTGACAAAGTGATTCTAAAATGTATATGCAAATGCAAAGGGTGAAGCATTGCCAATAAAGAACAACAAGAAGAGAGGACTTTCTCTACCAGATATCAAGAATTATTATGAAGCTCATTAATTAAGACAGTGTGATGTTGGTGCAAGAATGGGCAAATAGTTCGAGAGAATAGAATAGACAGTTTTGAAATAAACCCAACATGCACTTGCTTTATTACATGGAATCTTGCATAATATTATCTCTGGCCAAAGTACCTATTTTATGGAGAAGAAAATGCGACAAAGGACACATGACAACGGGATCCACTGGTGCCTACTATAAACCTGGAGGTTGAAATATCCTCTTAAAAGTTCCATATCCTCTTAAAGGCATTAGCTTGGCAATGACCTGCTGTGTGTTGGAGCACTCCAAGATATCCCAGTGTCCTGTCCTTCTCTGGGACAATTGTAGAACAATTCTATAAGGTTCTTTAGAGGATCCCCAGTGGGACTGAGCTCCAGTTGCCCTCAGTGGTAATTAAGGAATCCTTTATTGGTTTTTCTCCCTTCTTTGTCATGTTTTGTCTGCTATCTCTCAGAGTTGAAGCTAGGATGAGGTGAGCAGAGCACCTAAAGCACAAACCTGAGATTGAGCCGTTAAATTTTGCACACTAGGTGCCTTATTTGCCTCACCCTAATCCCAGCCCAGGAGCCCTGGTAGCACAGTGGTTAAGTGCTCAGCTGCTAACCATGAAGGTCAATGGTTCGAAGCCACCAA